CCGGAGGGCCCCGCGCGGCCCGCGGGCGAAAGGTAAGCACGAACTGAAGCAGGGACGCGCACCGCGCCGGGCGGCACCGGCCCGGCTCAGGTACGGCCGCGCAGGCAAGTCCCGGGAACGAGTGGCGATGCGCCCCGGCTGACTAGGGTCCCGTCAGGCGCGCACTGAGTGAATCAGGACCCAGAGGGTGGCCCACGCCTCTGGAGGCAGGTTCATGCTTACAAAGGCAGGACACCGGACAGGCACTTCCAGGTTGAGACAGGAGCACCCCGGCTGCTCGCCGTGACTGGAGCAGGTAGGCAGAGGGGCGGCTGCCCCCAGGGCCGAGTCCCGTCCGCTGTTCTGACAGAAGCTCCCCATCGGGATAGGGATAGGAAGGCAGGGCCAAACAGCACACCCCGACCCAGCGAGGCGGTGCACCCCCGCCCCCCATCAGTGGAGTGCCCACTGAGTACTATTACTCAGGCGCTGGACTCCTGGCCGCCACCCCCTGCCTGCCCCGTGCTGGCTGGAGGCCGCACCCCCCCCCCCCCCGGATGCTTTAGGTCCCCAGGTCAATCCCTCAGGTGGAGGTGAGACTCTTCTGGGGGTGGGGGTGGAGCCTGGCACCTGTCTTCAGTGTGTGCGAGCAAAGGGAACACAGATCCCACAAGCTCGTCGTCATCTTACTACGCAGATGGGGGAAACTGAGGCCCAGGAAGCCACACAATGCTTCCTGTGGGCCTGCACTTGACTTCCATTTTCTCCACCTTGTCTTAGGCCAGTAAGGTAGGTGTTAGTGTTACAATCCACAGTAATTTATGGTAAAAGATACCATATTCAGGTATCTATCACCTAACCTAAAAAATAGAGCCATAGTGAAACTTCAGGGGCTGAGAGGGAGAGAATGAGTGAGAAAGGGCTAAAGGGCGCAAGAGATGGCGGTGGGGAATAAAAACAGACCAGCACCTGTATATTGTAGCCCTCCACCTTCCTCCCATACAGCTTCTTCCTCTCAGCCTGAGGAACTAGTGGCCTGAATTTGGGGCTCATTGAATTTTATTTTTTTCGGGGGGGGGGAGTTACCACCTTTGTATGAAACCCTAAATAATATATTGTTTAGTTTAAACATTTTTGGGTGCACATTGTCTTTTAACGTCCACATCTATTGTCTGTGCCCCTATAATTTATTACTGAGAATTATCCTATTTGAGGAACATAATGCTAGAGATCTGTGCATTCTCCTGTTAGATGGTTCTTCTGGGACCATTTTCCGTTACAAAGAGTGTGCTTTGAGTATTGTTGTACGAGTCTTAGTGCACTTGATAGGTTGAGGAAATTTACACGCAGAGATGCAGAAAGGTGAAATCCCTCACCCAGAGTCAAGGAGTTGGTGGCCCTGGAATTCACATGGGTCTCCCCAAAGCAGGTCAGCCTCCACGTTCACACCCGCGTGTTCTGTGGGAGGCCACAGACAACCCCCTGGAGGCAGGAGGGTGCATTTCTAGTGCTTAGCTAGGTTCCTGTTTTGTTGCCTGCCCCTCCTCTGTGCCGCCCAGGCTGGGCAACCCCAGGGGCTGGCTGGCCAAGGAGAGCGGGATAAGTGAGGCTCAGCCAGGGCCCCTCACATGCCCATGCCACTACAGCTGAGCACTGTGTGCTGTACTGCTGCTCTTCACAAGCCCCCCTTTTTTAAAGATTATTTTATTTGTAGTAAATTACCTATTTTTAATTATTTTTATAATACTTTATTTTTTTTTTTAAAAGTGTATCCATTTTTTTTTTCAAAGATTTATTTATTTGCACATACAGAGGTGGGGTACAAGTCAGAGGCTCAGGGGCGGTGAGAGGCTTCACCAGAGACAGAGTGGGGAGCAGAACAGGCAGATCGAGGAGGTACACTGCTGAGGGGAGCAGCGGGCGGGTCAGGAGAGGTCTGCCACGCCATGTGGTCACCTCCGGGGCAGGCGGGGATCGAACTCATGTGCAAATGGCTTTTGCTTCTTAGTGCTGTGCTTTAACCCGCTGCGCCACCAGGGAGGGCCCTATAATACTTTATTTTTACATCTTTTTCCATCTCAGTTGTTACAACAAGCCCTTTTATAGGTGAGGAAGCTCGGTGGCAGCAGGCACTTACTCCTTGTAGTAACCACCTCTAAGACAGTAAAAATATTAAGTAACAAGTCCAGGTTAATAATCGTCATGATGATAAGTCAACCACAGCGATATAATGCTTCTCGTTTATGGAGCACTCACTAGGCGGCGGGCACTGTGCCAGCCCCATGCAGACACTTGCAGACACTTCCATGCCTTTGCGTCTGCTCCTGCCTTGGACTGGGAGCGCCCTCCCCTTCTTCCCTCCAGACTGCTGCCCAGACAATTCCACTCCTCTCTCAGATGATGTCTGGGAGGCCTGCCTACACTGCTAGGGTGCTGGGTTGCTTCCTTGCCAGTGTTCCTGCGTCGCCCTGTCTGTGTCCCAGGTGCTGGGTTACAGTTCCTGCCTGGGACCCTCTTGCTGCTAGGACTGGCTGGGACTCTGCCAACGCCCCAGGCCCGTTGCTGCCCAGCACTGGTGATGAGTCACAGCTCCTGTGCCCTCCCTAAGTGAGCCGCAGTCTCTCTGCTTTCCGGCTTGTGAAGAGGACTCTTGCCCCAGACGCTGACACTCCCAAGGGCACAGGGCTGCTCTGGGGAACCCCTGCTCTGTGTACAGCTGGATTTGGCAAACCTTGGCGCCAGCCCCAGAAGCCCTTTGGATCTAATGGTGCTCAGTCTCCCACACCCCTGCCTCTTGCCCATCTGTCTGGCAGCTGGGCGTGGCAACTTCCTTCCTGGAGCCTGCCTGCTCTCCTGCCACCTGCCTGTGCCTGGGCAGCCTGGGTGGGGTCTGCAGAGCGGCAGGACATGTAGCCCCCTGGGTGGAAGCTGGGGAAGGCTGGAGAAGCAGGGTCCAAGGAATTACCTTAGCTTTGAGTTGCTCCTTTGGGCAGCTCAACTGTGGAGGACATAGGAGCTAGCTCACCACCTAGGAAGGGTGGGTGGACTGCCCGCACAACAGCTGAGAGGCTGCAGAGGCCAAGTTCAGGTCCCTCCCTCCATGTTTTGCAGTTCTTGGTATCTTAAGAAAAAGACTGTCACAGTAGTTCTTCCATGCAAATATTGAGGTAGGTTTTAATTAGTAGTTGAAAAATTAATTCTTTTCATCCTGTATTCAAATGCAGTACAATATATTTGGACTATTGACAGGTTAACTGGAGGATCTGTTTTAAAAATACTGTATTTCCTTAGAGAATTGCAGATTCTGGGGTTAGGGCCGGGGAAGGGGGACCCCAGAGCATCTTGTGGAGTCAGAGTTATAAAGTGCTCCGAACACACAAGGATGAGGTGTGTCCGAGGGAACCAGGGGCTGGAAGTGCTCCAGTGGCCAAAGCTACAACGATAGAGCAAGAAAACAAATAATGAAATATTAGACTGTAATTCACGTGATCACATTCATACCCATGAATACAGACCGGTAGAAATAAATGATTAAAAAATTGATTTAATTACATATTGAATAAATAACTGGGAGGAGAGGCAGATCCTTACCAAAGAATCCCAAGAAGTATGTATTCATTCTCCTTCCAGGGTGGAGCTGAATTATCTCCTCCTCTTCCCTTGCATGTGCCCTCGTTTTAGGGCTGGCTTCTAAATAATAGAGTAGGGGAAGGGAGAATAGTGACTTCACAGTGGAGACACCTGGCAGATACCAGCTTGACCAGATGATCTGGGTTAATTTACATCCCCAGTAGTGAGTCAGGTGGCTCTCGCGTACCCTCGGTGTTCCAGGAGGAGAAGGGCACTTCACTTCCATGGTTTTCTTCCCTCAAATCCTTGGCCCCAGACAAAACATGAGGTTAGCCAAAACTGAGGGAGAGTCTAAAAAACACCTGACCAGCACTCCACAAAACTGAGAAATGCCTCCTGACCGCGTGGCAGACCCGGCATGCCAGGCCAGAGGACACCAGGAGACAGTGATGAGGCGTGTTGGATCCTGGAACCCAAAGTGCATTTGTGGAAAAGCTGGTCAGATGCAATCAGCTCTGGACCTTAGTCAACAGGGATGCACCAACATTGGTGTTTTTAGTTTTGACAAATGTCCCGCCATGGTGTGAGGGGACAGTGAAACCAGGAGCTGGCATATGGGAGTTCTCTGTGCAGTCTTTGAAACTCTTGTGTAAATCTAAAGTTGTATAGGGGGCGTGTTTTGTGCAGGACCTCTGTGTTGTTCAGTTCTGTTACTCTATTCCATGGCTGAGAAACAGCCATGTGAAGATTAAGTCTGAGCTACACTTGGGCCTCTCTGTCCTTGGGCGCTGGTCAGCTGGCTCTCCTGAGTCCCTTCTTCCCAGTGCCTTTGCCCTCTTCGCCCTGCTCCCTCTTTACTGAACGCTGAATGATTACTTTCTGGACTGTTAAGGCTGGAAAGCCCCATAGAGACTGATTAACCTGAAACGTTTATATCACAGATGAAGAGAGGGGAAGGGTGAGGGACTTGCCTCTGACTACACAGTAAGTTAACTCCAGCAAAGTGAGATTGGGACTAGCCAGACTTTCTCCTCGTCCACCCCCCCACCGCCCCTCCCCACCCCCCACATTCTGGCTCGGTCTCCCACCAGCTCATGCAGGTTGTCAGAAGCACTGGCAACTTACTTGGGGATTAGTAAGAGTAATGCCCAATTCAATGAAATGGCAACGCCTCAGGTGTCTGTGGGAGAGGACAGGTGCCAGGGAAGTTCTCACTGTGCACTCCCTAATCTGTGAGTCCCACCTGATTTTGAAGATCCAGGAGGAGGTGGAGTCTGAAAGTTGGATAAAGGTTGAGTCTGCCTCAACCCCACTCTTCTAACCCAAAGCTACTACAGTAAGAGAGCCAGGGAGAATTCTGTGAAGACCTAATGGGGTGCAGAGGGACTGGGTTCCCAGCCTTGGGGTTGAACTCTCCTGCATCCATCTCTGCTGGGGTCCAAAAACTTTGATGATATCCTCAGAGCTGCTGGAAAAGCCTCTCCCACCCCACCCCTCTAACCGCCCCCCCCCGCCCCAACATGGAGGGTATGCACGGGGCT